TCACTGTTGAGGCTGGATTTGTCACCAAATCCGGCCCACTTAAAAAGCCCAGGTCAAAGTTTTTAATTCGCAAAACGTTGAGCAGAATCGATGGGCCTTCGATCCAAACCCCGAAGAATTAGACATTATTTCTCTCAAGGCCCAGGTCAGCCCCGAAAGAGCCGAGTCAATAGGAGCGAGAATAACGAGTTGGGATTGAGTTAGAAGCGAGTCAACATAGCGGTTATCTCAGTCGTAGGAGCGAGATTCGCGGGAAATATGCCGAGATCGTGCCCGAGATAAGCGGAACCGCCATAGGAACGTGGAGCTGGATCGAGGAGCTGAGCTGAGCTATAAATAGAGGAAGTCCAAGCAGATTTCGCCAACTTTTCACACACGCGAGAGTTTAACACTACATTTTCAGCTTGTAACACGTCTCAGACGAGACTTTATTGTATATTCGATTTATATCAATATAAATCCAGCTCCACTCTATTCTTCCTTTATTCGTTGAGCTTATAGATATTTCTTAGGATTAAAGTTTTTTCTCCGAATTCACGTACAAATACTCAGTGCAGAATTCAGTTTCCAAAATCGCTTAAAAATTATTCTACTACTTTCCTTTTGATTTTTTATTAACGCCCGGACCAAAACCGCCGTTTTGGCTTCACCAATAACCTGCAAAATAAAAATCTGCGTGCGCAAATCCCAATTGGTCTTCTTTTTGGTGTTGTGTATGTCAAATCTCTCTTGAATTGTATTTCAATCTGAAAAAAATATCAATATCTCTGAGATGAAAAAGGTTATTCTATTACTCGTATAAAATAGTTATTAGTCTAGGATTGGTTTAATGTATTGGTCAACCATTAATTTTGTATAACCAAGTAGAAACTCTCTCTATATAAGAGATTGTCTAAACAACTTGTATAGAATAAGTTGAGAATTTGTTACAATCAATAAAGAATTTTTTTTTTTTTGACTTTCTCCCAACTAACATGGTATCAAAGCAAAATAAAGCTTAATTTAATTCACAGTTATAAGAGAGTATCTAAACAACTTGTATAGAATAATTTTAGATTTTGTTACAATCAATTAAAACATATCTGTTTTCCTTCTTCGACTTTCTCTCAACTAACAATATAGTTTGCTTGGACATATATTCAA